CATCACCCCGCCCCATTCTCCCGCTTTCCATCACCCCGCGCCATTCTCCCGCTTTCCATCACCCCGCCCCATTCTCCTGCTTTCCAGCACGCCGCCCCATTCTCCCGCTTTCCATCACCCCGCCCCATTCTCCCGCTTTCCAGCACCCCGCCCCATTCTCCCGCTTTCCATCACCCCGCCCGATTCCCCCGCTTTCCATCACCCTGCCCCATTCTCCCGCTTTCCATCACCCCGCCCCATTCTCCCGCTTTCCATCACCCCGCCCGATTCTCCCGCTTTCCATCACCCCGCCCCATTCTCCCGCTTTTCATCACCCCCCCCATTCTCCCGCTTTCCATCACCCTGCCCCATTCTCCCGCTTTCCATCACCCCGCCCCATTCTCCCTCTTTCCATCACCCCGCCCCATTCTCCCGCTTTCCATCACCTCGCCCCATTCTCCCTCTTTCCATCACCCCGCCCCATTCTCCCTCTTTCCATCACCCCGCCCCATTCTCCCTCTTTCCATCACCTCGCCCCATTCTCCCGCTTTCCATCACCCCGCCCCATTCTCCCGCTTTCCATCACCCCGCCCCATTCTCCCTCTTTTCATCACCCCGGCCCATTCTCCCGCTTTCCATCACCCGCCCCATTCTCCCGCTTTCCATCACCCCGCCCCATTCTCCCTCTTTCCATCACCCCGCCCGATTCTCCCGCTTTCCATCACCCCGCCCCATTCTCCCGCTTTCCATCACACCGCCCCATTCTCCCTCTTTCCATAACCCCGCCCCATTCTCCCGCTTTCCATCACCCGCCCCATTCTCCCGCTTTCCATCACCCCGCCCCATTCTCCCACATTCCATCACCCCGCCCCATTCTCCCTCTTTCTATCACCCCGCCCCATTCTCCCTCTTTCCATCACCCCACCCCATTCTCCCTCTTTCCATAACCCCGCCCCATTCTCCCTCTTTCCATCACCCCGCCCCATTCTCCCGCTTTCCATCACCCCGCGCCATTCTCCCGCTTTCCATCACCCCGCCCCATTCTCCTGCTTTCCAGCACGCCGCCCCATTCTCCCGCTTTCCATCACCCCGCCCCATTCTCCCGCTTTCCAGCACCCCGCCCCATTCTCCCGCTTTCCATCACCCCGCCCGATTCTCTGCTTTCCATCACCCTGCCCCATTCTCCCGCTTTCCATCACCCCGCCCGATTCTCCCGCTTTCCATCACCCCGCCCCATTCTCCCGCTTTTCATCACCCCCCCCATTCTCCCGCTTTCCATCACCCTGCCCCATTCTCCCGCTTTCCATCACCCCGCCCCATTCTCCCTCTTTCCATCACCCCGCCCCATTCTCCCTCTTTCCATCACCCCGCCCCATTCTCCCGCTTTCCATCACCTCGCCCCATTCTCCCTCTTTCCATCACCCCGCCCCATTCTCCCTCTTTCCATCACCCCGCCCCATTCTCCCTCTTTCCATCACCTCGCCCCATTCTCCCGCATTCCATCACCCCGCCCCATTCTCCCGCTTTCCATCACCCCGCCCCATTCTCCCTCTTTCCATCACCCCGGCCCATTCTCCCGCTTTCCATCACCCGCCCCATTCTCCCGCTTTCCATCACCCCGCCCCATTCTCCCGCTTTCCATCACCCCGCCCCATTTTCCCTCTTTCCATAACCCTGCCCCATTCTCCCGCTTTCCATCACCCCACCCCATTCTCCCGTTTTCCATCACCCCGTCCCATTCTCCCGCTTTCCATCACCCCGCCCCATTCTCCCGCTTTCTAGCACCCCGCCCCATTCTCCCGCTTTCCATCACCCCGCCCCATTCTCCCGCTTTCCATCACCCCGCCCCATTCTCCCTCTTTCCATCACCCCGCCCCATTCTCCTGCTTTCCATCACCCGCCCGATTCTCCCTCTTTCCATCACCCCGCCCCATTCTCCCGCTTTCCATCACCCCGCCCTATTTTCCCGCTTTCCAGCAACCCGCCCCATTCTCCCGCTTTCCATCACCCCGCCCCATTCTCCCGCTTTCCAGCACCCCGCCCTATTCTCCCGCTTTCCATCACCCCGCCCCATTCTCCCGCTTTCCATCACCCCGTCCCATTCTCCCGCTTTCCAAAACCCCGCCCCATTCTCCCGCTTTCCAGCACCCCGCCCCATTCTCCCGATTTCCATCACCCCGCCCCATTCGCCCGCTTTCCATCACCCCGCCCGATTCTCCCGCTTTCCATCACCCCGCCCCATTCTCCCGCTTTCCATCACCCCGCCCCATTCTCCCTCTTTCCATAACCCCGCCCCATTCTCCCGCTTTCCATCACCCGCCCCATTCTCCCGCTTTCCATCACCCCGCCCCATTCTCCCGCATTCCATCACCCCGCCCCATTCTCCCTCTTTCTATCACCCCGCCCCATTCTCCCTCTTTCCATCACCCCACCCCACTCTCCCTCTTTCAATAACCCCGCCCCATTCTCCCTCTTTCCATCACCCCGCCCCATTCTCCCGCTTTCCATCACCCCACGCCATTCTCCCGCTTTCCATCACCCCGCCCCATTCTCGTGCTTTCCAGCACGCCGCCCCATCCTCCCGCTTTCCATCACCCCGCCCCATTCTCCCGCTTTCCAGCACCCCGCCCCATTCTCCCGCTTTCAATCACCCCGCCCGATTCTCCCGCTTTCCATCACCCTGCCCCATTCTCCCGCTTTCCATCACCCCGCCCCATTCTCCCGCTTTCCATCACCCCGCCCGATTCTCCCGCTTTCCATCACCCTGCCCCATTCTCCCGCTTTCCATCACCCCGCCCCATTCTCCCGCTTTCCATCACCCCGCCCGATTCTCCCGCTTTCCATCACCCCGCCCCATTCTCCCGCTTTCCATCACCCCGCCCCATTCTCCCGCTTTCCATCACCTCGCCCCATTCTCCCTCTTTCCATCACCCCGCCCCATTCTCCCTCTTTCCATCACCCCGCCCCATTCTCCCTCTTTCCATCACCTCGCCCCATTCTCCCGCTTTCCATCACCCCGCCCCATTCTCCCGCTTTCCATCACCCCGCCCCATTCTCCCTCTTTTCATCACCCCGGCCCATTCTCCCGCTTTCCATCACCCGCCCCATTCTCCCGCTTTCCATCACCCCGCCCCATTCTCCCTCTTTCCATCACCCCGCCCGATTCTCCCGCTTTCCATCACCCCGCCCCATTCTCCCGCTTTCCATCACACCGCCCCATTCTCCCTCTTTCCATAACCCCGCCCCATTCTCCCGCTTTCCATCACCCGCCCCATTCTCCCGCTTTCCATCACCCCGCCCCATTCTCCCACATTCCATCACCCCGCCCCATTCTCCCTCTTTCTATCACCCCGCCCCATTCTCCCTCTTTCCATCACCCCACCCCATTCTCCCCCTTTCCATAACCCCGCCCCATTCTCCCTCTTTCCATCACCCCGCCCCATTCTCCCGCTTTCCATCACCCCGCGCCATTCTCCCGCTTTCCATCACCCCGCCCCATTCTCCTGCTTTCCAGCACGCCGCCCCATTCTCCCGCTTTCCATCACCCCGCCCCATTCTCCCGCTTTCCAGCACCCCGCCCCATTCTCCCGCTTTCCATCACCCCGCCCGATTCTCTGCTTTCCATCACCCTGCCCCATTCTCCCGCTTTCCATCACCCCGCCCGATTCTCCCGCTTTCCATCACCCCGCCCCATTCTCCCGCTTTTCATCACCCCCCCCATTCTCCCGCTTTCCATCACCCTGCCCCATTCTCCCGCTTTCCATCACCCCGCCCCATTCTCCCTCTTTCCATCACCCCGCCCCATTCTCCCTCTTTCCATCACCCCGCCCCATTCTCCCGCTTTCCATCACCTCGCCCCATTCTCCCTCTTTCCATCACCCCGCCCCATTCTCCCTCTTTCCATCACCCCGCCCCATTCTCCCTCTTTCCATCACCTCGCCCCATTCTCCCGCATTCCATCACCCCGCCCCATTCTCCCGCTTTCCATCACCCCGCCCCATTCTCCCTCTTTCCATCACCCCGGCCCATTCTCCCGCTTTCCATCACCCGCCCCATTCTCCCGCTTTCCATCACCCCGCCCCATTCTCCCGCTTTCCATCACCCCGCCCCATTTTCCCTCTTTCCATAACCCTGCCCCATTCTCCCGCTTTCCATCACCCCACCCCATTCTCCCGTTTTCCATCACCCCGTCCCATTCTCCCGCTTTCCATCACCCCGCCCCATTCTCCCGCTTTCTAGCACCCCGCCCCATTCTCCCGCTTTCCATCACCCCGCCCCATTCTCCCGCTTTCCATCACCCCGCCCCATTCTCCCTCTTTCCATCACCCCGCCCCATTCTCCTGCTTTCCATCACCCGCCCGATTCTCCCTCTTTCCATCACCCCGCCCCATTCTCCCGCTTTCCATCACCCCGCCCTATTTTCCCGCTTTCCAGCAACCCGCCCCATTCTCCCGCTTTCCATCACCCCGCCCCATTCTCCCGCTTTCCAGCACCCCGCCCTATTCTCCCGCTTTCCATCACCCCGCCCCATTCTCCCGCTTTCCATCACCCCGTCCCATTCTCCCGCTTTCCAAAACCCCGCCCCATTCTCCCGCTTTCCAGCACCCCGCCCCATTCTCCCGATTTCCATCACCCCGCCCCATTCGCCCGCTTTCCATCACCCCGCCCGATTCTCCCGCTTTCCATCACCCCGCCCCATTCTCCCGCTTTCCATCACCCCGCCCCATTCTCCCTCTTTCCATAACCCCGCCCCATTCTCCCGCTTTCCATCACCCGCCCCATTCTCCCGCTTTCCATCACCCCGCCCCATTCTCCCGCATTCCATCACCCCGCCCCATTCTCCCTCTTTCTATCACCCCGCCCCATTCTCCCTCTTTCCATCACCCCACCCCACTCTCCCTCTTTCAATAACCCCGCCCCATTCTCCCTCTTTCCATCACCCCGCCCCATTCTCCCGCTTTCCATCACCCCACGCCATTCTCCCGCTTTCCATCACCCCGCCCCATTCTCCTGCTTTCCAGCACGCCGCCCCATCCTCCCGCTTTCCATCACCCCGCCCCATTCTCCCGCTTTCCAGCACCCCGCCCCATTCTCCCGCTTTCAATCACCCCGCCCGATTCTCCCGCTTTCCATCACCCTGCCCCATTCTCCCGCTTTCCATCACCCCGCCCCATTCTCCCGCTTTCCATCACCCCGCCCGATTCTCCCGCTTTCCATCACCCTGCCCCATTCTCCCGCTTTCCATCACCCCGCCCCATTCTCCCGCTTTCCATCACCCCGCCCGATTCTCCCGCTTTCCATCACCCCGCCCCATTCTCCCGCTTTCCATCACCCCCCCCATTCTCCCGCTTTCCATCACCCTGCCCCATTCTCCCGCTTTCCATCACCTCGCCCCATTCTCCCTCTTTCCATCACCCCGCCCCATTCTCCCTCTTTCCATCACCCCGCCCCATTCTCCCTCTTTCCATCACCCCACCCCATTCTCCCGTTTTCCATCACCCCGTCCCATTCTCCCGCTTTCCATCACCCCGCCCCATTCTCTCGCTTTCTAGCACCCCGCCCCATTCTCCCGCTTTCCATCACCCCGCCCCATTCTCCCGCTTTCCATCACCCCGCCCCATTCTCCCTCTTTCCATCACCCCGCCCGATTCTCCTGCTTTCCATCACCCGCCCGATTCTCCCGCTTTCCGTCACCCCGCCCCATTCTCCCGCATTCCATCACCCCGCCCCATTCTCCCGCCTTCCAACACCCCGCCCCATTCTCCCTCTTTCCATCACCCCGCCCGATTCTCCCGCTTTCTATCACCCCGCCCCATTCTCCCTCTTTCCATCACCCCGCCCCATTCTCCCTCTTTCCATCACCCCGCCCCATTCTCCCGCTTTCCATCACCCCGTCCCATTCTCCCTCTTTCCATAACCCCGCCCCATTCTCCCGCTTTCCAGCACCCCGCCCCATTCTCCCGCTTTCCATCACCCCGCCCCATTCTCCCGCTTTCCATCACCCCGCCCCATTCTCCCTCTTTCCATCACCCCGGCCCATTCTCCCCTTTCCATCACCCGCCCCATTCTCCCGCTTTCCATCACCCCGCCCCATTCTCCCGCTTTCCATCACCCCGCCCCATTCTCCCTCTTTCCATCACCCCGCCCCATTCTCCCTCTTTCCATCACCCCGCCCCATTCTCCCGCTTTCCATCACCCCGCCCCATTCTCCCGCTTTCCATCACCCCGCCCCATTCTCCCTCTTTCCATCACCCCGCCCCATTCTCCCGCTTTCCATCACCCCGCCCCATTCTCCCGCCTTCCAACACCCCGCCCCATTCTCCCTCTTTCCATCACCCCGCCCGATTCTCCCGCTTTCTATCACCCCGCCCCATTCTCCCTCTTTCCATCACCCCGCCCCATTCTCCCTCTTTCCATCACCCCGCCCCATTCTCCCGCTTTCCATCACCCCGCCCCATTCTCCCGCTTTCCATCACCCCGCCCCATTCTCCCTCTTTCCATCACCCCGCCCCATTCTCCCTCTTTCCATCACCCCGCCCCATTCTCCCGCTTTCCATCACCCCGCCCCATTCTCCCGCTTTCCATCACCCCGCCCCATTCTCCCTCTTTCCATCACCCCGCCCCATTCTCCCGCTTTCCATCACCCCGCCCCATTCTCCCGCCTTCCAACACCCCGCCCCATTCTCCCTCTTTCCATCACCCCGCCCGATTCTCCCGCTTTCTATCACCCCGCCCCATTCTCCCTCTTTCCATCACCCCGCCCCATTCTCCCTCTTTCCATCACCCCGCCCCATTCTCCCGCTTTCCATCACCCCGCCCCATTCTCCCTCTTTCCATAACCCCGCCCCATTCTCCCGCTTTCCAGCACCCCGCCTCATTCTCCCGCTTTCCAGCACCCCGCCCCATTCTCCCGCTTTCCATCACCCCGCCCCATTCTCCCGCTTTCCATCACCCCGCCCCATTCTCCCGCTTTCCATCACCCCGCCCCATTCTCCCTCTTTCCATCACCCCGCCCCATTCTCCCGCTTTCCAGCACCCCGCCCCATTCTCCCGCTTTCCATCACCCCGCCCGATTCTCCCGCTTTCCATCACCCCGCCCCATTCTCCCGCTTTCCACCACCCCGCCCCATTCTCCCTCTTTCCATAACCCCGCCCCATTCTCGCACTTTCCATCACCCCGCCCGATTCTCCCGCTTTCCACCACCCCGCCCCACTCTCCCGCTTTCCATCACCCCGCCCCATTCTCCCGCTTTCCATCACCCCGCCCGATTCTCCCGCTTTCCATCACCCCGCCCCATTCTCCCGCTTTCCATCACCCCTCCCCATTCTCCCTCTTTCCATCAACCCGCCCCATTCTCCCTCTTTCCATCACCTCGCCCCATTCTCCCTCTTTCCATCACCCCTCCCCATTCTCCCGCTTTCCATCACCGGCCCATTCTCCCGCTTTCCATCACCTCGCCCCATTCTCCCTCTTTCCATCACCCCGCCCCATTCTCCCGCTTTCCATCACCCCGCCCCATTCTCCCTCTTTCCACGACCCCGCCCCAAACTCCCTCTTTCCATCACCCCGCCTCATTCTCCCTCTTTCCATCATCCCGCCCCATTCTCCCTCTTTCCATCACCCTGCCCCATTCTCCCTCTTTCCATCACCCCGCCCCATTCTCCCTCTTTCCATAACCCCGCCCCATTCTCCCGCTTTCCATCACCCCGCCCCATTCTCCCGCTTTCCATCACCCCGCCCCATTCTCCCTCTTTCCATCACCCCGCCCCATTCTCCCTCTTTCCATCACCCCGCCCCATTCTCCCTCTTTCCATAACCCAACCCCATTCTCCCGCTTTCCATCACCCTGCCCCATTCTCCCGCTTTCCATCACCCCGCCCCATTCTCCCGCTTTCCATCACCCTGCGGAGAGTCACTCTACAACGGTAGTGAGCTAGACTACGGGGGTTGGCACGAACTACTAGAGGTGATCGTAGCTTTGCTTGGTTCCTTAGTGCTTGCACATTCACGGAAGAAATCGGCAAGAGTTTCCACTAGGCAAAGTCGAAATTACAGAATGATTGAACAAGCAATGACAGAATGACTACATCAGACACCTAGCAACCCTGCAGCTAGCCTGGTCGACCGCCAGCACAGATCGGTCGACAGCCTGCCAGCATTGCGTAGAGGAGCCGCGCCAGCACTGCAGAAAGGCGACCTGCCAACAGAGCAGGTCGACGGCGTGCCAACGCTGCAGCAGAGCGGCTGTCCAGCGTTGCCCCGTAGAACACAGCAGTGTGCACGCTCGCAGGTGCGCGCGGACGATTGGCCTGACTTGCCTCGTTGGGCATCCGTCGGCAGTTGTCTGCGCCTGACGAGCCACATCGACTCCGGGATACCAGCCCGCAGTCGCCTGCGCCATCGCAACCTCGACGACGTTCGCGTGCCTCCGCAGAACTCGTCGAGCAGGTTACCTGGTCGACCCGGTCGACCACCAGGTGCTTCCGGTCGACCACCACTGCTTCTGGTCGACCACCAGGTCCCTCTGGTCGACCACCAAGGTGCCTCTGGTCGACCACAACTCCCGTCGAGCTACCCCCTGGTCGACGGACCCCTTCCGACTGCTCCGTCGACCTCCCGGTCGAGCGGCAGGTCGACGGGATGCTCCGGAGCAGTCCCGGTCGAGCTGTAGGTCCTGGTCGACGTCCCACCCGTCGCCCAGACCAATCAGTTGCATCTGTCGAGCTCCCTGGTCGACAGCAACACCACAGCGGTCCCCTGCAGCTCGACGAAGTCTGTCGAGCAGCTCTCCCACTGTGAACGGTCGACTGCTACTCCCGTACATCCGACCAAGTCGTCGACGTTGCCCAAGCGAGGGCGGGGCCAACACTCCATTCCTGTTAACACTCCCCTGCCGCGCTCACGCTTGGGCCTCCAGCCCACACGGCAGTACTCCACGGAGAAAACTCGTCCTCGGCGTGCACCCCACACACAGTACGCCATCACCGCACGAGCCGTGCAGAAGGGCACGGCACCTACTGCTGCACCTCGTCGTCGCCGTCGCCGACGTCGGCCAGACGAACTTGGCCGATGGCGACAGAGCACCGGTTGAAAGCCGGAAAATGCAGCGCCTTCGTCAGGAAGTCCGCCGGCTGCTCGGTGGTCGGGATGTACTTCAGCACGAATTTCCCGCGCCTCACCATGTGCTGCAGCCAGGCGTAGCGTCGCTCCATGTGCATGAGGTTGCCCGTCAGCCCCAGGCCCTCAGCGACCGTGATTGCCGACTGGTTGTCAACGCGGAGGATGGTCGGCTTCCCAGCGTCGAGCAGCTTGAATTCCGCAAGGAGGAAGCGAAGTCGACGCCCCTCCTTGCCGGCATCCGTGGCCGCCACGTACTCCGACTCGGTTGACGACAATGTTGCGCACTTGATGCGCGAGCTCGACCAGGAGATTGCGGCCCCTCCGTAGACGAACACGTAGCCTCCTGTGCTCGTCCGGTTCTGTTTGTCGCCCGCGTCGTCGGCATCGACGTAGCCGATCAGCTCCAACGATTCTGGTCCACCGCCGAACTCTAGGGCGGTGTCGCGGGTGTCGGCCAGGTAGGCGAGGCAGCGGTCGACCTCGCGCCAATGCTGGTCGCTCCTCACCGTGAGACTGCTCCCTAGCTTGCTGCAGGCGAACGCGATGTCCGGCCTCGTCGTCGTCGCCGCGAACTGCAGCGAGCCGAACTTCTGCCGGTACGCCTCCTCCTCGCGCTCCTGAGCCTCCTCGTCGTCGAACGTCAGCTGAGCGTAGGCGTCGACCGAGACCGGCGTCTTCGGGACTCGACCGCCTTGCTCCTCGTCGATGAAGCGTCTGCGCAGCTTGTCGGCGTAGCCCTGCTGGTGCAGCCACAGCTTCCTGGCCGGCCTGTCGCGCACGATCTCCAGCCCAAGGTACTTCACCACCGGCGAGATCTCACGTAGCTCGAAGGCGGCCTCCAGCAGCTCCTTCAGCTCCTTCAGCATCGCGGTGCTGCTGCTGGCGGCGAGCAGGTCGTCGACGTAGACCAGCACCCAGCAGGTCACTCCGTCGTCGCCGGCCTTGAAGTAGAGCGCCTCGTCGACCTGGCTCTTCTTCCAGCCAGCGCCCAGCAGCACACTGTCGAGAGCCCTGTACCACAGTAGCGGCGACTGCTTCAGCCCGTAGAGGCTCTTCAGCAGCTTGCACACCCGGCCGGTCCCGTCGTCGAAGTAGTCCGGCTGGTACATGTAGAGCACCCTGTCGAGCTTGCTCTGCAAGAAAGCGTTCTTCATGTCGAGCTGCATCAGGTGGAGGTCGAGAACGGCGACGATGCTGAGGAAGATCCTCAGCGTGACGTAGCTGCTCACCGGCGAGTACGTCTCGTCGTAGTCGGCACCGTACACCTGCGTGAAGCCCTTCACGACCAGCCTCGCCTTCTCGCGCTCGACGGTGTCGTCGATGCGGTACTTGGTCGTCAGCACCCCCCGGTTCTTCATGATGTTCACCCCGCGTGGGCGTTCGACCAGCTCCCAAGTCCCCATGCCGATGAGACTGCGGATCTCTTCTTCCATGGCGGCCTTCACCGCCTCGCCCTTCCAGCTCGACAGCGCCTCCTTCACCGTCATCGTGGCGATGTCCCAGCGGTGTTCGGGGTCGACATGCACGTCAGGGTCGAGCTCCGGCAGGTCTTCATCCTCCTCGGCGTCGTCGTACAACAGGTCGTCGTCGACCTCGTCGAACACCGTGGTGAAGGCGGCTGGCGGTAGGCAGGCGTGGAAGCTCAGCCGCTCCGGTGGCCGTCGAGCTCGACCTGTGCGTCGCAGCTCAGGCTTCGTGATCGGCACTTCTACTACGTCGCTGTCGGTGGACTCCTCACCCGCCGACTGCTCCCCGTCCTCGTCGACGTCCTCGTCGTCAACCAGCTGCTTCGACCCTTCGACCGGTTGCTCGCCTGCTGCTGACTTCGACAGCTCCCGTGTCGACCGCCCCGGCTGCTGCTCCCCTGTCGAATGTACCCCTGCTGTTGCCTCCTGTTCGACCGGCTCCCCTGTCTGGTGCTCCCCTGTCGTCGACGGCTTCCCATCCTGGTCGACGAGCTTGGCGCCTTGTCGACCGCCGGCGATGCCACGGGCCGGCGCCACAGGCGACGCCTCAAGGCTCCCCTCATCGTCGGTGGTCGACACAGGCCGATCTGCGACGGGGAACGGAGGAGCAAGAGCAGGGGGAGGGGGAAGAACCTCCACAACATCCTCATCAGCAGGCTCGTCGACGTCGGCGAGCAACGGAGCCGTCGCCGTCGAGATGTCCGTCGGCGGGTGCGCCTGCGTCCGCCCTAACGCCGGCCCATACTTCGCCTTCCACACCTCCAGCGACAGCGTCTCGTAGAAGATCACCTCGACCGACGTGACCACCCGGTTGTCGGTCAGGTCGAGCACCTCCCAGCCCTTGCTCTCCGACGACACACCTAGGTGAAGTCCCCAGCGAGCCTTTGGCGCCAGCTTCCCACCGCGCTGCTGCTCGGGAACCATGAACTGCACCATGCAGCCCCACACCCGCGCAAGCGTAAGGTCGGGCTTCGTCCCGGTCAGCAACTGGTACGGAGTCGTCCCCGGCGGCGTCGTCGACCGCTCCAAGCAGTTGCGCACCCAGACAGCTTGTCGTAGAGCAAGGTGCCACCAGTGGTGCTGCACGCCCATGTGCAGCAGCATCGTCCGCACGTACTCGACGACCGTGCGCATCTCCCGCTCAGCCATGCCATTCTGCTGCGGAGTGTAGGGGCACGTCAGGTCGTGGACAATGCCCTTCCCGTCGACGAAGTCGGTGAACGCCTTCCCGAGGAACTCCCCTCCTCGATCGGAGCGAAGCGACAGCACCGACTTCTTCGTCTGCCGTTCCACCAGCACCAGCCACCGCTGGAACTCCCGTAGCACGTCGCTCTTCTTAGCGACCGGCATTGCCCATACAAATCGAGTATGGCGATCCTTCAGCAGCAGGAAGTACAAGCTGCCATTCTTGGCAGCCACCCGAAATGGCCCGCACAAGTCAATGTGCACAACAGCCAACGCCTCCGCTGCGTCCGAGCCCTTGGCGGGGAAGGTGTGTCGCGCCAGCTTTCCTCCGACGCACGAGACACACGGCGGGTCTGCTCCGGTCGACGACGTGATGTCGAGCCCAGTAGCAACACCATGCTTCGCCGAGCTCTTGATCGTGTCGACGCTGACGTGGGCGAGCCGCGCATGCATCCTGTCGGGGGTCGTCTTCGTCGCCGAGACGATCGTCCGCAGAGCCACCACCTCGGTCGACTGCGACTGCGTCGAGCAGGGGCGAAGGTCGGTGCAGAGGACTCGTCCGGTGTAGCGTGCTCGACCGAGCACCGCCCCAGTCGCGGCGACGAGAAGCATCTCGTCGCCATCGCCTTGCAGCAGCACCCCGCTCTCCTTCAGCTGGCCAGCAGACAGCAGGTTCGCATGTACGCCCGGAACGTAGAGTACGTCGGGGATGAGGACCCGCTTCCCGGCCTCCCCTTGCAGAGCGACGGTTCCGCGACCCTCGACAGGCTGCAATGCCCCGTTGAACCCACGCACGTGCTTCACCCCGTCGCTCGGCCCCATGTCGACGAAGACCGACTTCGTCCCCATCAGGTGGTGGGAGCACCCGCTGTCGAGCAGCACCGCCATCGGGTTGGCCTGCACAG